TCTACGTYACGCTCATCCTGTCCGAATCGGTCATGAACCTCTTCAAGGACTGCAACTTCGACAGCTGCTGCGTGTGCGTGTGCAACATGAACATCCGGGGCTCCGACGTGGGTGTGTACCTCAAGGACAACGGCGAGGCCCAGTACCCGTGCACCTGTGGCTTCAGCGCCGTCACCAACCGGCGCTTCGGCCAGTCGGCTGGGCTGTTCCTGGAGGACGAGCTGGACGTGGTGGGGCGCGGCTCGGACGCCAGTCGGGACACGGAGCGGTGCTTCGAAGAGCTGAGAGGCAGCCTGAAGGAGAAGCCTCCAGATGAGCTGATCCTGCTGCTCCAGGACCGCTGCACCAACCCGTTCGCTCCGTTCGCAGGCGTGGAGTACTCCAAACTAAACTCTGCYTTGACTTCGTTCCTGAGGGTCGAAGAGAGGGACTGTTATAACGACTGCTACATGGCGCTGGAGCACGGCAGGCAGTTCATGGACAACATGTCAGGAGGAAAAGTCGATGAAACACTCGTGAAAAGCACCAGCCTTCACCAGTGGCCAAAGTGTAAATGTACGTATTTTTTTTAAACTGCTGTGTTACTTTCTCTTCTGTTTAATCTAACGTTTATTATCTTTCTTCCCTTGGTTTCACCTGTAGCAGCAGACATGAGCAAGCTGTTTTCTCAGGACGTTCTGCGAGTGCTGTTRTCCCTCCAGCCCGTGCTGCAGGACACTATTCAGAAGAAGAGGAGCGTGCGCTCTTGGGGTGTTCAGGGACCCCTCACCTGGCAGCAGTTCCACAAAATGGCTGGGAGAGGTTCTTATGGTGTGTGAAAAGTTCTCTTTAAAAAAAACATGTTTTTTTAAAAAGCCATAGTTTCCCAAAGCTAGTCAGTTAAACTAAATAAGAATGAAAAGTAGTAACAATCATACAAAAGACTACAAAACAAGGATATAAGGGTGACATCAGCACATATTAAGACTGTCTCTTTATATCTACATTATTCAAAAGAGTAAAAAGTAAAATCCTACAGTTGTAAAAATCAAATGTGATTGTCCGTCCTGTGATAACTAAATACTCATCTTCCTAATGAGGATTTAAGAGAGGGAAATTTTTCATAAAAGATAAATTTATTATAATTGCTTGTTTGAGATGTAAAATGTGATTTAACAAAATGCGATACTTGTGGAAAACATAAAAAGTGCTCATTTGCTGCATCTTTTTTTTTTACCTCAGGTACAGATGAGTCGCCTGAGCCTCTGCCCATCCCGACCTTCCTGGTCGGTTACGAATACGATTTCGTAGTGCTCTCTCCGTTCGGGTTGCCCTACTGGGAGAAGCTGCTCCTGGATCCTTTTGGTTCCCAGAGGGACGTGGGATACGTTGTCGTCTGTCCAGAAAACGAGGCGCTGCTCCGTGGAGCCAGGACCTTTTTCAAAGATCTGGGCGTCATGTACGAGGTATGCAGCTGACTGTTCAGAGAACTCCTCTTGTCTCGACATGCCCACCCAAAAAAACACATCAGGTCCTAAAGAAATGAGTGGCTGTTGTTGTGCTCTGACGTTTGTCCGTCCAACAGGCATGCCAGCTGGGGCAGCACAGACCCATCTGTAAGAGTCACCCAGAGGGTATTCTGGCGGTCGGCACCACAGAAGGCAGGAGCATGACAGAGCAGCCTCTCAGTGACTGGTTCCTCAAGATGGCTGCCAGAGAAGGAAACAATGAAGCCTTTAATAAGCTCAAACTTTTTGCTCAAGTCTGTCGTTATGATCTAGGTGAGACGTGTTCACGAGGCTTTAAAGATGAAAACTGCACAATAACATTTTTAACGTTTTTAACATGTGACTCTTTTTCAGCTCCACATCTCTCCGAGCTGCCTTTGGATAGTTCCCTCTTGTGCCACCGCAATCCCACCACGGCCCCCTCCTTCTCCTCCTCCTCTTTGTCACAGACCTCCAACTCTTCCAGCAACTCCTCAGGACTCCAGAGCGCCAACGCTTCCAGCGCTGGCTCGGCCCAAACTGCCCAGGTCAACAGCACCCCTCCCTCTTCTTCGTCCTCTTCTTCCTCTTCGTCAGGCTCCCAGACTATCGGGACCTTGGCCTCAGGCAAGCCAAGCTCCTACTTGCCGTTTGGGTCAGGGGTCTTGCAGGGCGGCGCCACTCAAAACGAACCGCAGTCCAATTCTCAAGGTGCAGGGAGCCTGGCTGAAAATGGATCCAGTCAGCCTCAAGGGTCCACAGAAACACCGGAGAGGTACGTTACACCTGCTGGAGTTCTGCTACTAGTCGAGATTTAATATAAGTTTTCTTCAGCAGGGGGTTTCTCTTTGCCACGCTCCCATAAAGACTGGTGAAGAACTTAGACAACTGTTTTTGTAGCTCAGTTACTCACCTGCTGAAGCTTGTAACTCCTAATGGTCACAGGAGTGTTGGTGACCTCGCTCCTCTTCTTCACAGTCCCTCAGTCAAAAATCATTTATTATCAATCCACTGACTGACTTTTTAAAGGGAGGATATTATGCATTTTTCAGGCACAAAGTTCAATTCTATATCACAATAAAGTAACTATCAGAGGTGGGCACAGTTCCCCTAAAGCACTAATAGGGGAAGTCTTTTCCTGATTAGTGCTTTAGGGCTTTAGCTAATTTTAGAATATATTAGTGGATTAGCACTGGCTAAATGTATAGGCTAAATTTAGAAGCACTAACTGAGGTCTTTAAATGTTTGTCAGCAGAGGGTGAAAGCTGTCACACATTTTGTTTACGTGTATCACTTATCCATTAGGTGACAAATTGACAACAAATAAACTCAAATACAGCTGTGGAAGGTCAATGGTGAGGCTTAATGGTGCGTTCACACCGAACGCGATTTCAGCGTCAGGAGCAGCAGGTTTACATACAAAGTCTATGGTGGACGCGCTTCAAGCAACGTCGGGAAGTTCTGCGGCGCCTCAAGCGCGATTAGAGCAGCGCGATTTGGACGATCTGAGCGTCGAACGCTCAGATCGTCCAAATCGTCCAAATTGCTGAAGTTGGGAAATCTGAACTTTTGCAGCTCGACGCGCAGCGTCAACCAATCAGAGAGACTCCACTGTGTGACGTAGCGACATATTTCCCGACGGGACAGTTTACTGAATGATGTCCACTAACCTGAAACAGACAGAGCTCCTGCTCTTTAGCTGAAATGAGTGCTGCAGTCGTGTCCTGATCCGCAGCAATGCGTGGCAGCGACTCATCAGACTGAAAAAAAATAGTCCTGAAAGCGAGCTGTGAGCCTCTTCTCTGAATTATCTGGTGAATTAATTATGAATTAATTATCTGATGAACGTGACACGTTCTGGCTGTCTGTAAATAAAGCAAAGCCACTTCCTCGTCCGACATTAAACAGCCCCACAGAGGAGGGAGGGGCGGGGCGGCTGTCRCCGTGCAGCGCAGVTGTCCTGCGTCTGACCTCAAAGTGCACAAGCTTCAAACTTCAGCGTTGGCTGCGATTTTGACGCTGAAATCGCGTTCGGTGTGAACGCACCATAAGAGAACAACATGGCAACAAGTGACTCGTCTGTTGAAGAATGTTCATGAGTTGACTGGGTTATTTTAGTGCTTTAGAATTAACTTTTGCTAAAACTTTCAGTGCTTTAGAATTAGGGGACCTAAATATTTGACTTAGTGCTTTAGGGCTAGTGGAACTAATTTTTAGATTAGTGCTGCCCACCACTGGTAACTATTTTACCTTCAGTTGTTATGAAAATGCTGTATATTAGGAATGCATGATATCAGTATCAGCCTGATATGTAAAACAGGGCCAATGTTAACGTCCGATATCGATTTTCCATTTTTAAGCTTTTTCTTTCTGTTTTGTTAAGCGAAATGTTTGGTCGAGTCATATCTGTTTGATCATGATCATGAGAGTGATATTGACACTGTGCAGCCAGGAATAACTGAAGTAGGGAGCCATATCAGAGGTCTGGTCGTTTATTTACAGTATCGAAAAAAGACACAAGTGTGTTTGTGCAATATCGGTTATCGGCCATAACACCAGTAATAATATTGGATATTGATATCGGCTGAAATTTTCATATCGGTGCATCCCTGCTGTATATATCAAAAATAAAGGGGTGCTCTTTGGGGCAGTAGCTCAGCTGCAGACTGAGCTCCAGGGAGGAGCTTTGGGTTAGTAGGCGGAGCTTTATACCAGCAAATGTTTAGGCAGCTCCATATGGCTACCACAGGACATTCAAGGATTTAATGCTGACTTTTTCCCAAACAGCACCATGGAGAGAGACAAAGTGGGCAAACCAACAGACGGAGAGTCGCACGCCATTTCTTACCCGCCTGCCATCGTGGTTTACATTGTCGACCCCTTCAGCTACGAAGACGCAGACAGAGAGGTTCACTCCAGCAGCTACACTCTGGGCCTGCTGCGCTGCTACATGGAGATGCTCCCGTTCCTACCTGCTCATATCAGAAACGCCATCTCAGTGCAGGTAGGATCATCTTTCTTTGTGCGTTTCCTAAATCAGAATTACAACTTCTTTCTGCACGTCAGCTTTAGCTTTACACTCTGTTAGCTTTTGCCACTCTGGCTTTAATGGGCTAAGTTGTCTGCAGACACCAGGGAGGTTAGAATAAGCAGGGGGATTATTAGCAGAGACTAATGAAGGTGAAAACCGACACACCTGTTATWCAATGACAAAAGATTGCATCAACACACAGTTACAAAAGGGACTTTTTAAACAAGAGGTGTGTGTGAGTTCAGGAGCTGAAGATGTCAGTGTTGGTACAATAAAATACTGATTTTCATTATATTCTTCCTTTCAAGATTAGTAAAATAAGAAATATAAACTTAGTGTGTGGACAAAAAATTTGAATAATCTGACTCATTTGATCAACAAAAAGCACCAGGTTTTGTTTTTATTTTCTGTTCTGGAGGTTACGATGCGTGTCAACAAAACAAGAAGAAAAGCATTATTGATGATTTCTGAGGAGGTTTTGTTCATCGACTCCGAACAGGAAATTCCAAATTGTTAGAAATTTATTGTTTTCTAAAAACAATTTTCACCCCTAAGTTGAAAACATACAAGGCATCTGTCAGTCTTCCCTGGTCTCTTYGTCCCAACAGCTTCACCCCGAGGTCACATCATGCAGTGTTCAGAGAAACTGCAACTAAACACAAAGAGGGATTAAGTCTACATTTTAGAACAACAGAGCAGCCTGGCTTAGSTTTGAAAACTAGCAAATAAACAAACTACAAAGCTCAAATCATCAACCCTCTACCACCATGCTGCACAGCTGCCCTCAAGCATTTGTTTTAATCTGTTTGGGGTTTTGTGCTGTTTGTTTTGGTCAGAGCCCTTCAATTTGGTCTCATCTAAAAATATATATATATAAAAAAAACAGTGTTCCAAAAGACACCTTGCAATGAAGTCAACAAATGTGAGACACTGTCGATCCAACAGATGAGGTTTGATGGGAGGTTTGTCATTCAGGCAGCAAGAAATCTACAACTGAAAGAGAAAATAACAGATTGAGTTTTAAAGAAAACTGCTTAAAAATAAATAAAAAACTGTTAAACTAAAACAATGTCAAGAAAAGGGTGTGACTGAAAAAATACAGAAAACGTTAAAAACCATTTCATGTTTTCTATGATAAAGTAGACTTTAAATGTAAAATGGGTTTTGCCTTTACTCTTTATAAATAATGTATGTTACTTGTTTGAAGTAGTTAATAAGTCAAGAAATTCTATAAACATCCTAAAATCCTCTAAACCAGAGGTGCCCAAAGTGGGACCCGTGGGCCAAAATTGGCCTGCCAAGCCATTTGGTTTGGCCCACCAGTAGTTGTCCTGATTATTAGATTGTAATCTCTTGTCTTATGTAGAAACACTATATTTCCACTTTTCAACCATTGGTCCAACTGTAGGTACAAGAGCTGTAGTCAGATAGTCTTAACTCATGGTACTCACTTGATCTTTGAATTAATAAACATAATGTACAAGTAACTACAAGCGACATTTAGATTAGATTTAAGCACACATCTAGATTTGCACACTTATACTCAAATTTTAATTTATGAAAAGTCCCATGAGCCTTTGCTGCCCGAGCAAACGTTGAATTTTCTCCATGTCCATGTGCTGAAAAAAAAACATGGGCAACTGCACTGGCTGCTAGCTTATTCATAAAAAAACAACTTTACTTAAGAAGTATTTGCATTTCATGTATTATATTCCTGCATTTGGCCCGCGGCCCTCAGAGTGATTTTAATTTTGGCCCTCTCTGAGAATGTTTGGGCACCCCTGCTCTAAACTGACGTCACTGTTCTTCTTCAGATCGTTCCCTGTCAGTACCTGCTGCAGCCGGTGCACAGCGGCGAGCGTCACGTCTACAGCCAGCACCTGAAATCCCTGGCCTTCTCTGTGTACACGCACTGTCGTCGGCCTCTGCCCGGCTCCACCAACTTCAAGGCCCTGACCGGATTCGGACCCGGACTGGCCATCGACATGGCACTCAAGAACCCAGAGGTGACCGCTCTGATGGCCGCCTAGCTGGAACCGAACCCATGTTTGTTTCTGATATTAATAAAGCATTCCCACTTCCTCGCAGCGGCCCGAGTGTCTGCGTCTGTACACGCCCCCCTTCATCCTGGCTCCTGTGAAGGACAAGCAGACGGAGCTCGGCGAGACATTCGGCGAGGCCTCGCAGAAGTACAACGTCCTGTTTGTGGGCTACTGCCTGTCTCACGACCAGCGCTGGCTGCTGGCGTCCTGCACCGACCAGCACGGAGAGCTGCTGGAGTCCTGCATCATCAGCATCGACGTACCCAACAGGTGTGTGCGCACCCTCTCATGCACTAAATACACACCTCAGTGCTAATTACTCCACGTCTCTGTTTGTACCGTGTTGTTACAGGGCGCGCAGGAAAAAGGGCTCGGCCAGACGGGTGGGCCTGCAGAAGCTGTGGGAGTGGTGCGTCGGCCTGGTCCAGGTCACGTCTCTGCCGTGGAGGGTGGTGATCGGACGGCTCGGCAGGATGGGGCACGGCGAGCTGAGAGGTGCGCCGTGGCGAAGAGTCGGGCGGTCGGCTCGTTTCCGAACGCGAGCCGACSGCGCGCTGACGTGCTCTTTCCTCGTTTCAGATTGGAGCATTCTGCTGAGCAGGAGGAACCTGCAGTCCCTCAGCAAGCGGCTGAAGGAGACGTGCAGGATGTGCGGCATCTCCGCYGCCGACACGCCCAGCATCCTCAGCGCCTGTCTGGTCGCCATGGAGCCACAAGGTTCCTTTGTTATCATGCCAGGTACAGTGAGACTGAAACTCGAAGAGAAAGAAACGTAAATATTGTGTAAAACCTCTGAATCCTCTGGTTTTGCCCCTGCAGACTCTGTGTCGACAGGTTCAGTGTTCGGCCGCAGCACCACGCTCAACATGCAGACGTCACAGCTGAGCACGCCTCAGGACACGTCCTGCACGCACATCCTAGTGTTCCCCACCTCAGCCATGGTTCAGGTCAACACAAACACTGCAGAGCCCATCGACATCAGCTTCAACCCCATCAACGGTACGGAGCCACTCACAAAACTCCCAAGTGCATCTGCTGAGACTTAAAACGTCACTTCCTGTCAAAATCAAACTCCTTTTTGCCCCCCTGCAGATGGATCTGATGGCATGGCTCTCTTTGATCTTTTTGACAACGACATGGACCACGACATGGATCCAGACCTCATCAACATCCTGCCCAACTCCCCAACAACCTCTCCTGTTCACTCTCCTGGGTCACACTACCATCAAGGCGGAGACGGAAGCAAGGTCTGAAAAATGAAAGAGGGAAAAAATCTGTAAAATGCCACTGACAGCTAGTAGAGATTAGCTAGAGAAGTAGCCTTTTCACAGAAAATACAGCGAGTGCTAACAACTACTGAAGAGGCTGGAAATGAACTGTTCAAGCTAATGCAGCAAGTCACTAGCTAAAGGCCTTGCAAAGGGCTAGCTGAAAGATAAAGGTAGCTAAAAGCCTAATGTAGCAAAGGCCAAATGTTTTTCCTCTTTAGTTGTTGGAAAAAGTGTAAATAAAATAAACAGTGTTGATGGTAAAAGACGCACACAGTCACCATCCTGTTGTGGTTTCGTTCTGAAGGGTCAGAGTGCAGATCGTATGGAGTCCCATGAGGAGGCTCTGAACATCCTGCAGCAGCCGATGGCGCTGGGTTACTTCATCTCCACAGCTAAGGCCGGACCACTGCCCGACTGGTTCTGGTCGGCCTGTCCTCAAGCCCAGAACCAGTGCCCGCTCTTCCTCAAGGTAAACTTGTTTTAGTCAGGACAACCGAGATAAGGTCACGAACAACAAATATCTTACCTGTTGTAGATGGCTGTTATGAAATGAAAAAAAAAACCTGAAGTGTTTTAATTGTGAATGAGGATTACCACTGTCCTTACAGGGTTCCTGTGGATCCTTAAAAAGTTTTAAAAGGCATTGAATTCATCAATTCAAAAATAAGGCCTTAATTAGCCTTAAAAGATCTTAAATCAATCCTTCAGTGGTCTTAAAAGGATCCATGATTAGTTGTAACATTAGACTTTATTTAATAAACATGTATTTTAACTGTAAAATAAAGACTGTAAAAATACTGTAGGTGGGTAGGATGGTCATTTTTGATAATTTTTAAACTAAAATTTTAAAAATATATAACACGGATGGGGCCATTTTATTTACATGCAAAGCATTCTGGGTAAATGATGACGTGGATAGGTCCCCGGTGTGAAGCTGCTAGCGAGCTATATCCACCCTGAAGGTTAATCTTGGACAATATCTGACGATCGRCTCTTTTAAATGAAACCAGAGAGCGTTGACAGAGAGGAGAAGGTAGAAATGATTCAGCCTGTAACTGAAAATATGGATGGAGGACAACAGAGCTGCTTCATGGAAGAAGAACCTCAGCTTAGCCTGTTAGCTTTAGCGTTAGCCCGGATGCTATCACCATATATATGTATTAGCTCAGCGTTACACATTCTCCTCTCATCACTGAGGTCCTCCATCCACATGGCAGAGAGGGGAACGCAAAAAATGACTAAGTCTGCAACTGAAAATATGGATGGAGGACCTCAGTTTAGCTTGTTTGTCACACTAGCGCTGAGCTAATACTTATAAGGCAATATAGGGTCGGCGCTAGCGCTAAAGCTAACAGGCTAAGCTGAGGTTCTTCTTCCATGAAGCAGCTCTGTTGTCCTCCATCCATATTTTCAGTTACAGGCTGAGTCTTTTCTACCTTCTCCTCTCTGTCAACGCTCTCTGGTTTCATTTAAAAGAGTCGATCATCAGATATTGTCCAAGATTAACCTTCAGGGTGGATAATACTGTAGCTCGCTCACACAGAGGACCTATCCACATCATCATTTACCCAGAATGCTTTGTGTGTAAATAAAATGGCTCCATCCGTGTTAAAATATATATTTTTAAAATTAACAAAACTAAACATCCTACAGTATTTTTAGTCTTTATTTTACTGTTAAAATATGTTTATCAAATAAAGTCCAATGTTACAACTAATCAGGGATCTCTTTAAAATTGTTAACACATAAGTAAGATGATTATAATTTGTCTCAATTGTTAAAATAATCGGTAACATTTATCTATCTTTATAATTTACCAAATGCTTCTCGCAGCTACTGGTTGTGAGTTGAAATAAACATTTGGGTAAAATTGTCACTAACTTGTTGGTTTTAGATTTAATTTCAAGTGGCATTAAAGAGGTCTTAAATCTTCTTACTTAAATTTAACTTACCCTAAGCTGTAGGGACCCTGCTTTAGACATCTAAATTCTTTCAAAAATTGATAGCAATTTATTAAGAAATTTAAAAAGAAAATTACGTGGTTATTTGTAGCAGCTAGTTCTGCCGGATTAATCGTATGATGTGAAAATGTTTTGGTTTATAAAACAGCTTTTGTTCAAAGCACTAAAACTGTATAAAATGAAGCTGCTAATCAGTTTTGAGCTTTTATAAATCAGTCGGGACTAAAGGTGAGTGTCTCCGATGTTTCCTCAGGCCTCTCTCCACCTGCACGTGTCTTCTGTCCAATCAGACGAGTTTCTTCACAGTAAACACTCCCATCCTCTGGACTCTAACCACACCTCTGACGTGCTCAGGTACGAAACCGCCACCGAACCGTCCGTTTAAAAAAACGAGCTGGTTTGTCGAGCCTTGACGTTTGTCCCGCCCTCTTCCTGTTCAGATTTGTTCTGGAGCAGTACAATGCCCTGTCCTGGCTGACCTGCAACCCCGCCACCCAGGACCGGCGCTCCTGTCTGCCCGTTCACTTCGTGGTGCTCACACAGATCTACAACTTCATCATGAACATGCTCTGAACTCTGGGGTGGGATCCAAGTTTCTAAAGGAACACACTTCATCAGGGCAAATGTGGAGGCCACCCTCCTCCCTGGTGTCTGACCCAGCGCCGACTGGAAGGTCCCAATCAATCAATCAATCAGATGCCAAGAAAACATTTTAGCATTTTGGAAGATCAAGGGACGTTTCATAAAAGGAGAATCTTTTTAATGACTGTAGATTGAAATCTATGAGATTTTATCTTAATGAAATGCCTGCATATATTATTTATTGTAAGTTTTTAATGTGGAATTTTTAATGCTTAATATCTTTTATAAATATATATATAAATATATATATTACAAATCCTAGAGGGTGTGTACATCTCACTGTAAAGGAGTTGGTTTAAAAACGTGTAATTTTTCTCAATTCTAACACGGAACAATGACAAAAATAAGAAGCTGTTCAAGTGAATTTGCTGTAGATTGCTTTTAGAATCTTATTTTTTCAAAGGGCAAAAAGACCTTTTTATTGCCACGCTGTAAAAAAAAGAAAAAAAAGAAGTAAAAAGCTAGCCTGGGCGTCTGTGTCCCGCCCACCGAGGAGATGAGACTCGCCTCTCCGTCTGTCTCCCGCACAGTGAGCTCTGAAGAGGAATTAAAGGTACAATGTCAGATTATATATTTTATATAACAGATTTAGGTAATTGTGTGTGTATATGTGTACATATACTTGTGTGCCGCTACTGATGGTGCAGCTTCTGTTTTAGGAATAAAGTGCGTCTACCTTAAAACTGTCGACGGCTGGTTTTTGTGCAGCTAAAGAAACATCAGGAAATGGAAGAAAGCCTGGTCATATCCGAGTTTATCAGCTATTAATTAATCTTAATTTATTGCAGGATGAGCTGAAGCCTTGAAGTCAAAAGCAAAAAGAACACTTAAACAAGTTTGCGCATCAGTTTCCTGCCTGTAATGTAATGTGATGTTAAACAGCTGTTGTTTGCATCAAATACGAAACAATGAAGTCATTAATTTTAGCTGTTTCCAGCTGCACTTCATAATTTCGGCCACCAGATGTCGCCAAAAAGGACTTATAGRAACCTTTACGTCATCGTCAGTTTTGCATTGTGTCTGTGTTTTTAATTCCTGCTRTGAATGCTACAGCTAGCTGCTGCTGTGGCTAATTGTGTGCATAACCACAGAACCTTACATAAGTTGTGTCAGGCAAAACGGACAGCGGTGTAATGGTCTGCAGTGTTTTCAAATTGCTGAGGTTAAAGTTTTTAAGCTGATTCAACCTATTAAAAATTAACCCTACGGTTAGAAGACGGTCAGAAGAGCTCTTTAAATGATTGAGATAAATTAATTCTTTATTTTCATCAGTTGTCCTTCCTTGCTTCTCCTTTCCAAAGAAATGTGTGGTATTTTGTTATATATTAAATATACACTGCCTGGCCAAAAAAAAGGTCACACTAATACTTSRTTGGATCGCCTTTAGCTTTGATTACGGCACATTATGCTGTGGCATTGTTTCGATAAGCTTCTGCCATGTGAAGATTTATTTCCATCCAGTGTTKCATTAGTTTTCCACCAAGATCTTACATTGATTGTAAAGTCTGACCTTTTCCAGCACATCACTGGACTCTGTGGAGCCAATCCATGTGTGAAAATGATGTCTCATACTCCCTGAACCACTCTTCACAATCCCAGCTCGATGAATCCTGGMATTGTTATCTAGGAATATRGCCGTGCCATCAGGGAGAGAACAATCCATTGGTGGAATAACCTGGTTATATTCAGTATTTTCAGGTCAGCTGACCTCRTTCTTTGAGCACAAACTGTTGCTGAACCTGGACCTGACCACCTGCAGCAACCCCACATCATAGACCTTAGTTAAATCCAGGTGGCAACTTTGTTTGGCTGGGCAATGTATATCATCATTTTATATTATATATTATAATTCTAAAAGTTTAGTTTCTGTTCTGTTTATTTTACCTTTTAAACTTTTTTATATATTACATTGTTTTTATGTATTGCATTTGTATCTGTTTGTCTTTTGATACAAGTCTTGACTGAACTGTAAAGCACTTTGGTCAGCTTTTGTTGTTTTATTGTGCTATATAAATAAATTTGACATTGACATTTTAACAATAAGATAACTTCACAAAAATCAGTGTTCACAATTAATTTTCACTGGTTTAATTTAAGTCATAAGTCAGCATTAAAATTTGTATAAAAACTATTTAAAATGTACATCTATAAATTTAAGACCAGAAAAAAAAATCTAAGGAAATGTCTTTAAAAATGAAATAAATCGTGTGAAAAATGTTTCCTGAAGCTAGTCTCATAGTAACTTCTGTATTTATCAGCTGAAGATGAAGCTGAGTTCTGACATAAAGTCAGGAGCAGCTGCTGGAACAATAAACACGGCAGCGACATTGAAAACGTCCAAACCTAACATTGTAAAATTAAACTGCAGCTGCTCGACACTCAAACCACGTCCATGCCGAGGCCCCTGGCGACCTCCGTCAGAGCCTGGACAGCACCAGACGTCCCCCCGTCGTCACCGTCCTCCTGTGGCGGTCCTTCGGACTCATCCTCACCGTGAGGAATGGAGCTCATCACGCAGTAAACGGGTGAATCTCCGCCTCTGGGGCTGTGCTGAGACGACACGTCCTCCCCTCCCGAGAGGTCTGAGGAGTACGAGGAGGAAGAGCTGGAGGAGGGCGAGGAGGAACCTGCMGGGGAGCTCCGGCCGCTCTCCGGCGTCACGGCGGTCCTCTTCCTCTGGCTGCTGGATCTCTGACTCTGTCGAGGGTTCGGTGGCTTCATGTTCTTCATGATCTCCTTCGTTACCTCCACGGTCTCGAAGCGCACCATGTTTACTTTTAGGAAGCCGTCGATGTCCTTCTTATACCTGAAGAAAATCACACAGAGAGAGAAATTCAGTTTATAGTCCACATGTAGCTTTTATACAAGCAGAATAGAAGCTAAAATCAGCAAAAGGCGGAATAATTTTGTTGAACTCCCAGCTGTATTAATCAATATATGGATATATTTCTACACAAATGCTGTCAGAACGTATTGTTCTGTTTGGTAAGCAGATAGCAACATGTAGCATGAAGCATATGTGTACACACACACAATACACGTGGATTTTATTTTGAAATCAGAAGTTTCAGAAAGACGACAGTGATACAGTTTCAACCTATATATCAAAAGCCTTTATATCAATGTTTTCAGCTGTGTTTGGAGTTCATCTTTCACAGAATTATTTTTTGCTGTGACTTCCACATTTATCACTGGATTTATCGCACGATCTCCTTCCTGCACACCCTCCCTCATGTGTGTGTTGGACCAGAGCGGAGCTGAGCGCAGCAGACGCTGTATAAATTGGGGCACAAACGAACAGCTGCGAACTGCGCACCGCAGCGCAGCGGAGCAGAGACACATGTAGTGTAAATCCGGGGTCATCTGCTTCCACTTATCTTCCTCTCTACTACACAGCTTGCTGACTTGGCAGCCTTTTTGTTTTCGATTATGAAATCAGTTTCTTTTTCTCGAGACATTTGTGAGATTCAGTAGTAACTTGTGAGTATAAATATTAGTGGGGCGGAAATGAATATCCTGACTCAATATCAACACGAATGTTACGATTTGCAGCACATTTTCTGTGAAAAAGATGATTTGTTGTCTTTTTTCCCACCCTCTCCACAGATTGTGTCTCATAAAAACAGTCTGGTCTAACATTAAATCAGAGAAACACCACCTGCACCGACCCCAGAGTATTTTTTATTTTAATTGTGGGTAAAATTTATCAGTAAGATACAGCATTCTGGATTGTATCTCTCATTTAATTTTGAGTAATAATTCTGCGATGACCCTCCAGGTTAACAAAGTTAAACGGGGGAAAGATATCCTGTGATCTAATTCTAAACATAAAAACAAACTTACACAGACCTTCACTTTATTTAAACGTCATTATCACATGAGAACCTTTTACACCATGAAGACATTTTGACACATTTGGTCAAATCTCTATGTATTATTCAATCCTACTTCTCTGTCAATGACACAAAAATTACTCCTAAACGAGCCAAATTAAATTAAAAAATAAAAGTACACACAGTATGTGGAAGTAATGCTTGGTATAAATCGCCATATGTGAGAACCGTGTGAACACCGACTCGGACGCTGTTAAAACGCTGACTCAGCATTCAGACCGATCGCAGCTCACCTGAAGCGGGAGTGTCCGGACGGCCACTTCAGCTCGTGCTTCTTGCGGAGGTGGAGTGTGAGAGTGTAACACCAGGAGAAGACTTTATCACAGATGTGGCATTTATATTTGGACCTCCCACCAGCCTGTGTGTATTTTAATAAAATTACATCAGCATTGCACGGATCTGAACAGATCATATCCTTCGTGTCGGACATCACTCTGAACCAACAGACCTCATGAGCTCTCTTCAGGTGGTAGTTCATGGTTTGGAAAGTGTGACAGGAGTAAGAACAGCCCTCCACTGAGCAGTGATACACAGAGCCCTCATTGTGAACCTCTGTGTGCTTCTGGAGATCACGCTGGTTTTTAAACCTGTTTCAATAAAACATAAAAGATATCAGACGTGGGGACGACATAAGGTTCCAGAAGGATAGGTCGACGTGCGGCCCGAGGAAGTTAACCATCAGGAGAGATGTCAGAGGAGCAGGTCTACCTTTTGTCGCAGAAGTCACAGGGAAAGGGCCGCTCGTCGCAGTGWCGAAAGCGGATGTGCATCTTCAGAGCAGCCAGCGTGGTGCAGGTCATGTCACAGAAAGGACACTTCACCTGGTTGACTGGAGGAAAAGGGACAAAAACAAAGCAGGAAGTATAAAGAATATTCAGCTAGTGATAGCAGTAGCTTCAGCAAATGTGAGCCGTCACATCGAACTGAGGATGTTGTTGGATATCCGAACAAAACTGAAGGACAGATGCACTTCAGTAAAATGTGTAAGACTATGGAATAATCTGGAAAATGATTATAAAAGCATTGGATCAATTAATTCCTTTAAAAGAAAATGATCAAAGCAAAACTGTTAAAGAAATATGAAATTGTTTAATTTGTATTTGTATGAGTCACTGTTTGAGGAGTTGAATTTTTTTGTTTTGTTTTATTA